GGGTTGCTCCCGCCAGGATTGCTCCCGCCAGGGTTGCCCCCGCCAGGGTTGCCCCCGCCACGGTCGCCCCCGCCAGGGTTGCCCCCGCCAGGGTTGCCCCCGCCAGGGTTGCCCCCGCAGGGTTGCCCCTGCCAGGGTTGCCCCCGCCAGGGTTGCCCCCGCCAGCCAGGGTTGCCCCCGCCAGGGTTGCCCCCGCAGGGTTGCCCCTGCCAGGGTTGCCCCCGCCAGGGTTGCCCCCACCTGCCCCCACCAGGGTTGCCCCCACCAGGCCCGCCTCAAGGGTTGCCCCCGCCAGGGTTGCCCCCGCCAGGGTTGCCCCGCCAGGGTTGCCCCTGCCAGGGTTGCCAGGGTTGCCACAGGGTTGCCCCCACCTGCCCCCGCCAGGGTTGCCCCCGCCAGGGTTGCCCCCCAGTAGAAAGAAAGAAAGAGAGAAAGAGAGAGAGAGAGAGAGAGAGAGAGAGAGAGAGAAAGATGGTCCATGTTCATGATCGAAGGAAGGGTTTGCAGCATTTGTTGCCCGAGCTTGCTTTGTAGTCGCTAGTTCTCGCTTCAACTCTTCTGCCGCCATGGCTTCGGGGACTTGTCTACCTGCAGACGCGGCAGAGACACACCTGCCACCTGCGGGGGTTTTGCTGCCGCATATGCGGCTGCCGCCGACGAACTTGGTTGACATGGCCGTGGCTGGGCCATGTCGCTGGGACGGTCCGCCGTTGCTGTGTCCTCCGGATGGTCTCTGTTTCTTATACGCTTGGCTGGCAGCCCGTTTGCCCGAGGAATGGGCTGCCGTGCAGAAAGACGACCACGGATTCATCTGCGACCCGGAGGAACAGCAAGTCTGGAAGGCCAAAGCGCAGAGTTTGCTAGACCCAGTCCTGGCGCTGATGGAAGCAGAAGGGCAGCAGGCCATGGCGCGGCGAGTAAGCCATGATCGTGTCATTCAGAGGTTTCAAAACCAATCAGAGGTTTCACAACCAAACACATGCATGTAAAATAAGCCAAAAAAACCTGTATATAGCATGCATTATGTCAGGATGACTGCTTGATGAGTTGAAAAAATGGCTGAAAAAAAGATGGTTCTAAAACATGGGCTCTCAAAAAAAGGCTTTTTAAAACTTAAATAAAAAACATTGTCCAAACAGCAATAAGCAAAAAAAAACTGTATATAGCAACCATGATGTCAGGATGACTGCTTGATGAGTTGAAAAAAATGGCTGAAAAAAATGGTTCTAAAACATGGGCTCTCAAAAAAAAGGCTTTTTAAAACTTAAATAAAAAACATTGTCCAAACAGCAATAAGCAAAAAAAACTGTATATAGCAACCATGATGTCAGGATGACTGCTTGATGAGTTGAAAAAAATGGCTGAAAAAATGGTTCTAAAACATGGGCTCTCAAAAAAATGTTTATTTAAGCTTAAATTGAAAACATTGTCAAAACGGCCCCAAAAAAATTGACTCTAAGCTGCACAGCTCAATGTTCCAGCACAGTGCTAATATAGTTGTGCCTTCAAAGCCTCAGTAATCCAGCAGGGATGGGTCGGGAGGGTTTGTGAGATGGAGCAGAAAGGGGGGGGGGGGGGGCAGGGCGGCATAAAAATCTTGCCACCAAGGATGTCAGAGCCTCAGTCGCAGCATCAACGCTCCTTCAGGAAGAGCAATTGGGCCCTCAGGTTTTTGCAGGGGTTCGGGTTTAGTTGGTGTTTAGGGTTTGCTGCCAACCCTTAGATCCGAAGCCAAAAACCCTAAACACCTAAACAACAAACCCTGAACCCTAACCCAAGGAGCAAGTCGGCACTGTGCTGAAAGGCGCTGCCTCCAAAAGGTTTGTGCCGAAAGGCGCAGCCTTGAATCCGAAACCCAAAACCCTAAAGAATAAGGTTTTTGCAGGGTTTCGGGTTTAGGATTTGCTGCCAAACCTTAAAAACCCAAAACCCTAAACAACAAACCCTGGACCCTAACCCAAGGAGCAGGGGTGCAGCTCAAAATCGAAAGGCGCTGCCTGAGCAGAGCAAGACCCAATTTGTCATTCCAGGCTCAAGGGGGGCACAGGGGCGATCATGCTGTCAAACCAAACTGTAAACTGTCAACCCCAGCCCCCCCCCTTCTCCTTGCATTCTGGGCAAGTTGTGACGACCCAGATCTGCCAATCTTCAGCAGTCCTGCCCTCAGCACTGGTTTTCCCAGAGGTTTGGCCTGGGCGAGCTTTGTCAGTGCTTAACATGTGCCTTGAATCCACTCAGCATGTTGATCCTTTGGTTTCTCATGGTTTGTCACTTTAAGGCCAGTTGCTTCACCTCCAGAACTCCACCAGGCAGGGCTAAGCTGATGGTGCAAATGCTTTTGGTGTTACTGTTTGGGGTGTCTGTTTGTTTCAGTGCTGTGCAAGTGCTAGTCATGAAGCCATGTCATGATGTGAGCCTCTGACTGATTGAAGGCTGTCACAAAGGGCTTCTATGCAGTTAGAATTACCAGGCTGTGTGCCGCAAGGAGTAGGCCGCCACAGTGCCGAAAGGCGCAGGGGCGATCATACAAGGTATTATAAACCCAGGGCGCAGTGTAGAAACCAGTTTGTGCATTCCATAGGATTTAAGGCTCAGGTGTAGTGTTGCAGCAAAGCCCTGTGCCACCTAGGCAAAACTGCAACTGTGATGAGCATACTGTTGCAGTACATAGGCTGTTCTTTGCGTGACGGCAGTCTTGCAGTGAGAGGCTTGATGTGTGATTCATCTTGAGTGCCTGTATGTGCAGCACTGGCTCGTGAGTAGTGCAGTGCAAAATTTTGTCTGGGTTCGAGGCCGCCTTCTAGTTTAAGGGCCCCTACAGGCGCTACGAGTGCTCTTAGAGCTCGTGCAAGCTGCACCGCGATCGGCCAGCGGATGGACAATTCCTCCTCTAGTGAGGCGTCGTCGTCTTCCTCTGACGACTCCGGGTTGCCCATCCCTGCAGGCACCCCTTTTGCACCTGTGCAGTTGCGTCTGCGTTGTTTCCACGAAGAGGGTCTTTTGCAGCGTTTGCAAGCCCCGGTTGATCTCTTCACGCATATCCTTGAACCAAGCTTCCGTGGCTTGTTGTTAAGTCGCCGGGAAGGGGCGCGCTTTCTCCTGCTGCTTGCAGTTGAAGACTGGGTGCGCTTTGCTGCTTCATCTCATTGGGTGCAATCCTGCTATCGCTTGTTGCTCCCCTTGGAATCTTGATGTGGATGCGGCCAGAGCAGATGTGTACAAGGAGAGAATGGAAAAGGCGATCTCGGAGGTGGCCAAGTACAAGGCAGGACTGTGGAGGTGGCTTGCTCATCATCAGCTGCACAATCACCAGCAGCTGTTCTCTTGCCCCTACAGGCAACTCAGAAGGCTTCTCCCGACATGCAAAAGAGCCGAAACAAACAACTGCAGGCTTCGATACCCAACCCGATACCCAAACCCCAAACCCACAAAACCCGATACCCAAGAAACCCGAAACAAATCGATGCCCAGGCTTGGATACCCAAACCGATACCCGAACCCAAACCTTAAATTTTTAGGAAGGTTCAAAGTGTTAAGGCTCTAGGAAGGTTGATTAGGAGAGTTGATTAAGCGTTAAACCTAACTCCTAATCCCTAAACCCTGGACCTGCAAAGCCTGCTAGGCCCTGGAGATGGTGGTGCGCTGGCCTGCCAGAAGACACTGGCAAATTTGGAGGTCCGAGAGGGGGGTGGGGTGGGAAGGGTGTTCGGAGTGGGTGCAATAGTGCTGAAAATGCTTTTATTCGCAGCTTGCTTATCCCGGCGGTTTCTGGGATCAAGCACGACAGCCAGCTTAGAGCAACCAATCAGCATCAGCTTCATGCTTGCTTGAAGAATTTTCATGTTGCTTTTCATGGAAGTGCTTGCTGTTGTGCGTTGGCTGTGCCGTTGTCAAACTTTAGGTTTGCTTCAAGGTCTATAATTTGTTCCACTAGAACGCCGAGACATTTGCAATTGCAATGGGGTCTGGCTGGCGGTGCAAACTATGTGTCGACGGCCGAACCTACAGAAGGCCCCCAAAGAACATTTGCAAGAAGTGTGATCCAAACAACAGGATAGGGCGGCATCACCAGAAGGTCCTGAGCAGGAGACTTCGGCAGAAAACCACTGCCAAACCTTCCCTGTTCCAATTTGGGTGGCAGGCAACTTCAGGATCCAGAACAGCATCAGTTGACAACTTGCTGCAAGCCCTAGAAGGTGAGATGGATGATCTCAAGATTGCTGCAGCCTTCAAGATGTCCCATGTCCACAGTGTGCTGGGTGTGGCATATGCCTGGCTTGAAAGGGTGCGTGACTGCAAGGTGACGATTCCGGCATCATGCAAGGTGCATGGCCTCCTGACTTTTGCAATGGCCGCAGGTCCGTTGAGCGACCCCGATGAGCTGCGAGCAGGGTATATGAAGCGAAAGAATTTTGGAGTGAAGAGCTTCAGACATTCTGAATGTGTTTGGGCGAATGTGATTGGCAATCTTGAAGAAGGATGCGGCACAGGCCAAATGCAGTTCTGAGGGCACATACACACCACTGAGGCTGTTGCAGGACAAGAACAAAATGAGGTGCTTGTCATGCCGAACCCTAAACCAGGAATATACATAGCGCAACCGGTTGCGCTTTGTGAGTGCTTGCAGATTGCAAGCACCTGGAAGACACTTACTTATTACTGCTGTGTGCTTGCAGGAATATACATAGCGCAACCGGTTGCGCTTTGTGAGTGCTTGCAGGTTGCAAGCACCTGGAAGACACTTACTTATTACTGCTGTGTGCTTGCAGGAATATACATAGCGCAACCGGTTGCGCTTTGTGAGTGCTTGCAGGTTGCAAGCACCTGGAAGACACTTGATGGTTACAACAGCTGCCACCCCCCCCCCCCCCCCCCCCCACGCATTTGGCATGCGCCGAAGCACTTGGCATTCGGTATGATTGCGTGCTGTGACAACATGAATGCAGCGCTGTCCGTGTGGTCCGGCTCAGACTTTTTTAGTGAGTCGACTCATCAGCATCATGTCGTTGGAGCGTGGCAACGGGGGACACACACCTCCAAAGAGGCAGCCGCCTGCCACTGTTGACTTTACGCCGCCGAAGCCACCCAAAAGACGCCGGCTACAGGTGACTTGGGGACAGTTCGTGGCCAGTCTGACAGCCGACTACGAGTCTTTCCTACGAGACCAAGCTCGAGCCCCTGAGCCTTGGCCCCTCCTTCAAGAGCAGTGGGATGCAATGATGCGGCAAGTCCTCCGAACCAACCGAGACCCTGCCACGCTGGGCCCTGCGCCTCACTTCATGCAGCAGGGTGTGGACGAAGTACTCGTCGAGCAGGACAGGAACACTGATGATTCAGATGCTGAAACTCTGATCATGGGACAACAGTAGATCAGAATCAGAATTTAGCCCCAGGACCAGCGACGTTGAAAAAAGTTGGGTCATGAGCCGGGGGGGGGGGTGGCAGCTGCAGTAGAAGCCCAGGCAGTAGCCTTTTTTCACAGGTGTAACCATCAAACCGCAAGCAGCTGTCCATTTTCTGCTAGCACTCACAAAGCGCAACCGGTTGCGCTATGTATATTCCTGCAAGCACACAGCAGTAATAAGTAAGTGTCTTCCAGGTGCTTGCAACCTGCAAGCACTCACAAAGCGCAACCGGTTGCGCTATGTATTTTCCTGCAAGCACAGAGCCGTAAGTGTCTTCCAGGTACTTGCAACCTTCCTGCACCGTACCCAGAGTGATCATGGATCATGTAATTGGGTTGCTGCGTTTGGAAGCGGCTAGATGCTCCCTCCCAAGCTCCCGGCCAGGACAGAAGATTGCCACAGCCTGCCAGCCTGGCCAACTCGCTTGCGAGGCAGAGTCTGCTTGATTTCAAGGTTCTTTCGACAGAACATGTACTGTACTGGTGGTCGAGGTTTAGGGTCTAGGGTTCGGATGGCCATTTGTTTGCTTGTTGGCGGTGCCCTCCCCGCTACACTCTCCCCCTTTACCTGCAACCTGCAAGCACTCACAAAGCGCAACCGGTTGCGCTATGTATATTCCTGCAAGCACACAGCAGTAATGAGTAAGTGTCTTCCAGGTGCTTGCAACCTGCAAGCACTCACAAAGCGCAACCGGTTGCGCTATGTATATTCCTGCAAGCACACAGCAGTAATAAGTAAGTGTCTTCCAGGTGCTTGCAACCTGCAAGCACTCACAAAGAGCAACCGGTTGCGCTATGTATATTCCTGCAAGCACACAGCCGTAAGTGTCTTCCAGGTGCTTGCAACCTGCAAGCACTCACAAAGCGCAACCGGTTGCGCTATGTATATTCCTGCAAGCACACAGCAGTAATAAGTAAGTGTCTTCCAGGTGCTTGCAACCTTCCGGCACCGTACCCAGAGTGATCATGGATCATGGATCATGTAATTGGGTTGCTGCGTTTGGAAGCGGCTAGATGCTCCCAAGCTCCCGGCCAGGGCAGAAGATTGCGACAGCCCACCAGCCTGGCACTGGCAGCTAGTGCAAGGCCAGACACTAGGTCCCACACCAGCTGCCCTATGCATCTTCCTGCAAGCACACACAAACCGCAACCGGTTGCACTATGTGTATTCCTGCAACCACCCCGACACCGGACTGCAGGATCCCACAACCTTCCTGCGCTCACAATCATCATGTAGCATGTATGGACTGCTGAGTCTGAGGCAGCAATATCCCATCATGAATGTTCTACTTCTCGCCTGTCAAAGCAACCCAAGCCTGCCCTGAGGCTGGGAAGGGTGTTCGGAGTGGGTGCAATAGTGCTGAAACATGCACTTACTACTCAACCTGGATCCACAAAAGGGGCAGCCATTTGCTTGCTTCTTGGGCGTTCTCTCCCCCAAAGCTTACTTGTGCTTGTGCTGCCCCGGCCCCTGCCTTGGAGTTCCGCTGCTGCAGGCCCCTGCCCCCGGAAAGACCTGCAGAGCCACCGACTTCTCAAAAGACATGAAGGCGGGCCGTTTTAGGGCTTTGCAACTTTAGTTTACAAGAGCATTCTTGTTTGGCTGGAGATTAGAGATTGTGTTTGGAATGGTTTGGGAGGATGATGTTTTCTAGTTCCAGGAATTCTGACAGGTGATTTGCAAGAAATTATGATTGCAAACGAGTTCCTGCTCACCTGTCGTCCCCACACAGAAACAAACGGCTTGCGCCGAAAGGTGCAGCCTGAAAGGCAAGGTTCCTTAGAATTGCAAACAGTTCCTACTCTCTGCCAGTGACCCTCTGAAACCGTTGAGGCTCGAGTGCAGGGCTCATACAGTGGGTCACCGAAACACAAGCAGTATAAGTGCAATAGAGAAATCTTAAAGGAGAGGAATTCCACTGAAGGGCTTCTATGTACAGGTGCAGCCAAAAAAACCTGACACACTAGGTCACCGAAACACGAGCTGCCATGGACCCGCGGTCTGCTCTGAAGTCAAAAGCAAAGCCGACGGAGCCACCTGCACCTTGGCTGGATGCGCAGCGGACCTCAGAGCAGCAGCCGGCTGAGATGCTTCAGACTGCTCTGCAGGCGAAAGCACAGCCGACGGAGCCAGCTGCACGGCTGGATGCGCAGCGGACCTCAGAGCAGCAGCCGGCTGAGATGCTTCAGACTGAGGTGGAGCTTCAGGGTGAGGTGGAGCTTCAGGGTGACGTGGAGCAGGGTGACGTGGAGCAGGGTGAGGTGGAGCAGGGTGAGGCGGAGCCCCGGACATGTTTTGGATTTTTCGTTTGATGGTTTTCATGTGTTGTGCAAGTCCAGTCAGGCACTTAATCCAAGTCTAAACTTAAGTGACTGCAGAGCACATCCGCTCCAAGTGGAACCAGTTCGTGGCTGAGCTCCCCACTTGGTGGAGCCACCTGAAGGTCAAGGGCTCCGGATCCGTTTCAAGCTCTCTCAAGTGACAGGAGAGGTTCCTTTGACCGACTGCACAGCTGACAATTGCAACACCCTGGCAAAAGAAGATTCGCTGTTCTAGAAGTCTGCAGAGAATCCAAAGACCGAAGCCCTGGTGTGTCACAAAAAGCTGAGGTCGGTTGCCTGGGCCGATGGTTCGCCTTCGAGGCCTGTTGCCAGGGTCACAGCTTCCACAACGAAGTCCCACAATAACAAAACCATCTGCTGAAGCCCAGCTGTCGACTGAGTTTACACTTCACAGTCACATCATCTGTGCAGCTGCCCTTGTGTGTGTGTGTGTGTGTGTGTGCTTGTGTTGCATCGAAGTGTTTTTGGGTTTTGTGCTTTGGGAGAGGTACAGGAGAGGTCAGGTACTACGGGAGAAGGTAAAGGGGGAGAGTGCTGCGGCTGTGTGCTTGCAGGAATATACATAGCGCAACCGGTTGCGCTTTGTGAGTGCTTGGGAATATACATAGCGCAACCGGTTGCGCTTTGTGAGTGCTTGGGAATATACATAGCGCAACCGGTTGCGCTTTGTGAGTGCTTGGGAATATACATAGCGCAACCGGTTGCGCTTTGTGAGTGCTTGGGAATATACATAGCGCAACCGGTTGCGCTTCGTGAGTGCTTGGGAATATACATAGCGCAACCGGTTGCGCTTTGTGAGTGCTTGCAGGTTGCAGGTAAAGGGGGAGAGGGTAGCGGGGAGGGCACCGCCAACAAGCAAACAAATGTCCTCCAAACCCTAGACCCTAAACCTCAACCGAAAGAACCTTGCAAGCAAGCAGACTTTGCCCCTTTTTTTTCCCTCGCAAGCGAGTTGGACTTCTGAATCTTTGTGTGTACATCACTACACAAATTTCATCCATGAAAGTCATGGTATTCAAAGCAAGTCGAGGCTTGCAGTGTCGATTCCGGGGTAAGAGCTTAAGGTTTGAGGAAATCTGCCACAGTGGTTTGATTCAGGAATAAACTGCAACCCTCGCACTCACACGCCCCGGGCAGCAAGCATATCATTAAAGACAGTGACATGCTCCCAAGTCCATGTCGGCTGGCAGGCGAACATGTCCTGGGCCATTGGCATAGACAGCTCAAGGAACTTCTTCAAAGCCAGCACCCAGCGGCACAAACGGTAGAAAACCTTTCGGCTGTGACGACAGTAGGATCCTGCATCGTAGACGAACATCAGGAATCCTTCTGTAAAATCGCCCGCATTCTTGTCGTCGCTACGACCATACATCTCACGTGGAAGGAGGACCACCATGCCGAAGTACCAGAACCAGTTTCCTGGAGAGAAACGATTTCCAGCCTCAGGGTTCTCACGGTGGAATTCCATCCACCGATGGTGCCAATGCTTGATCGGCATTCCCAGTGTCCAGCTGGCTCGGTACTCATCCATGAGCAACTCCAGGAAACTTTGCTCCTCAGACAGCGTTGTGTAAAGCTGAACCAGCAACTGGTGCAGCTCCTCTCTTGCTGATGGCAGCTCGTTAAGTTCCACCAGAGGCTGCTGAGCATTTCCGGCCACGGCCATTGGCAAGTTGGGACAGTCAGACAAACAAGGACTGCAGTGGGGCCAAAATTGCTGCAGAAAACACAATGTCTAATCTCCAGTGTAACAAGAATGCTCTTGTAAACTGTGTGGAACTAAAAGTCCAAAGCCCTAAGACGGCCCGCCTTCATTTCTTTCCAGAAGCAGCCCCTTTAGTGCATCCATGTCGAGTAGTAGGTGCATGTTTCAGCATAAAGCGCTCCTTTAACTTCAGCACTAAGCCTTAGTCACTAAGCACTCCTTCAAGCCACCCTCTACCCCCTGTCTCGGACCTCCAAATGTGCCAGTGCTCCACGGTTTCCAGGCACGCCAGCGCACCACCATCATGTCCAGGGCCTAGCAGGCTTTGCAAGTCCAGGGTTTAGGGTTTAGGAGTTAGGTTTAACGCTTAATCAACTCTCCTAATCAACCTTCCTAGAGCCTTAACACTTTGAACCTTTCTAAAAATTTAAGGTTTGGGTTCGGGTATCGGTTTGGGTATCCAAGCCTGGGCATCGATTTGTTTCGGGTTTCTTGGGTATCGGGTTTTGTGGGTTTGGGGTTTGGGTATCGGTTTGGGTATCGAAGCCTGCAGTTGTTTGTTTCGAGTTTCGTGGGTATCGGGTTTTGTGGGTTTGGGGTTTGGCCTTCTCAGGCTGCGCCGCGAGGCGCAATGCCTGGTTTCCTGGGTATCGGGTTCAGTGGGTTTGGGGTTTGGGCTTCTGAGGCTGCGCCGTGAGGCGCAAAGCCTGCAGTTTGTTTGGAGGGTTGTGGGTTTAGTGTTGGGGTTCTCAGGCTGCGCCTCGCGGCGCAAAGACTGCAGCAAATCGCCAAAGGGTTCAAAGTTTAGGCCTTAGGTTTAAGGTTTAGGTTTTAGGTTCTAGGAGGGTCAATTTAGTTCTCCCCTAGATCCTAAACCCTAAGCCCTATACCTGGTAGACTTCCAAAAGGCCTCTCTTGATGTTTAGGGTTTAGTGTCTAGGAGGGTTCGAAGGTTAAACCTCAACCTTAAATCCTGTACCCTGAAGGAGGGGGGGGGGGGTTAGGGTTCAGGATCTAGGAAGGTTCTAGGAATAGGAAGGTTCCTCTAGTGTTCAATGCCAAACCCTCACCGTAGCAAACAACCGCAGGCTTTGTGCCGGGAGGCGCAGCCGGATGAGGAGGATGAGGAGGAGCGCACAAGTAAGCTTTGGTGGAGGAAAAACGGTTAAGAAGCAAGCAAATGGCCATAAAGCTTACTTACCAAAGGGGTTGCCTATAACCCAGAAGGGTTGCCCCTAACACTTGAAATGGGTTTCGGATTGCTTCATTGCCCTGCTTTAAATGGGCCAGGGCCCAGGGTTGCTGAGGTTTTTTGGGGGGTGGGGGGGAGGGGAGAGTCAAGAAGTAAGCCTTCCCCAAAATGTTGACAAATCAGAATGTCACCGAGGTTGCTTTTTTTTACCCAGCCAATCCAGTCACATTAGTAAGCTTGAGGCCATCATAGGCCTGCATCCATGCACTTCCTTAATTCTTCACACGTTTGCGGAGTTCCTGGTCTATGTCCAAGCGAGCCCTTTTCAGCTTTGCTGTGGGCACCCTGGAGAAATCCGGCCAAGTTGATCCTTTGCTGTCCATCTTGTCACATGCTGCTTTGACATCTTTCAGAGTCAGACGTCCATATTTCAGGTGGACTTTCACAGAACCAGGGGCGTGTCGGGCAAATTTCATCGAAAGCGCTGTGGACATGCCATCTCCGAGCAACTCTGTAATCAATGTTGCCCGGCCACTGTGCGGGCGAAGCTTTGCCACCTCTGGCCCCCACTTTTGGCCCTGGTTTCGTAAATGCTCGAGAAATCTCGGAGCCAGTCGCTTTACCTGGGCATAGACTGCATGATAATGCAAGTGTGGCTGTTTGGCTTCTTTGCGACTGCGGAAAAGAAATCCTTCAGATGGGATTTCGTACTTATCTTGCCTTGTGATTGTCTTCTTGCGGCCCTTTCCGTGCTTGTGCTTCTTTGTGCGTTCTACAGTGTAACCAGACTTGACGACTGATTTCAGCCAGCACATATGCTTCTTGCGGCAGTAGACCTCCCCCGGAGATTTCCGGTTCCCCTGTGTCTCGCCAGTGACAACAAGCTTTGGTATGTCACCATGGAAACTAAAGTCACTTCTCTTCAAAGTGAGAGCCTCCGAACATCGCAAGCCAAACATGTAGGTCAAGCTGAGTATATGCGCGCACCAGCTTCCTGCCCAACAAATTTGATCCACTGAGCCCATGTGCTCACTGACAGGGCCGGCGCCTGTCCCAGCTTTATGCCCTTGCGCGACTTTTTCTGGCCAGCCATGGCAGTTGGAAGGATGATGTAGGACTAATATCTACCTAGTTCTATGTGTATGTCATACTGTTTGTGTGTCTGTTTGTTCTATTTCCATGTCAGATTCTGCTGAGCTGCTCCACTTTTTTTTGCTGGCCGACAAGAGACCTAATGCCAGGCATGTTCAGGAAGTGTATGCAATGGGGTAAACATAGGCAACGGTTCTAGCAACACATACTGGCATGTCCGGGCCAACCAGGGGTCCCAAAGCCAGCCTCCAGGAGCAGGATTTGCAGCGCAGTGCGGCAAATGGCCAATGCCTCATTGAGTGGTGAGAGTGCTTCCCAAGAAAGGCTAGCTTGCGGTGCTTCAGGGATCTCAGGTTTAGGGGGCCTCCGACAGGCCACTTAAGAGTCAGGGAGTGCTTGCAGACAGTGCATACATTTGTGACTCTCTAGTGGTTGCTTAAGGTCGCCCAAGATCTTGGCCACTTGGCAGCGCGGCTCCCCAGTCAGGCCTTAGCAGAACACAAGCTAAATTAGGGGCAGGGTTTAGCTTGTAGTTGGTTTAGGGTTGGGGTTAGGGTTGGGGTTTAGGGTTTAGGGTTTAGGGTGTGCCGCAAGGCGCAGCTTGAGAAGTAATATTCGGCAGGCATTTGAGCTGAAAGGCTCGGCCTTGAAACCCTTAGATTTTAGGGTTTAGGGTTTCGTGTTCCAAAAAAGCAGGTTTTAACTGCATAAGGCCAGTCGGGGATTTGCCTTGTTTCTGGTTCATGTAGCTGGTGCCCACAGGAAAAAGAAGGGCCCCTAGCCTGGTACCCTAGTCCCAACCTGAAGCCCCTAATGGAGCAGCAACACAGCAGGGACCACTGACTACCTTGTGTGCGGGGCGTGCGGGCACACCTCCACTGCCTTCGTGCCGAAGTCAAGCACCACCGCATCAGCAGCCCTCCCCGAACGCAGCCTTGGCCTACGCAGCTGGCGGCTTGACCAGTTTACTTCGATTCGGCAAGCCTGGAACTTGGCCTGCGCTACCCACCGGGGTGCCGCCGACCCCAATGCAGGCGTTGCGCACGTATGTGCTGGCGGCTTGAAGAACGCTCCGCGACATCGTGGCCGACATCATCATGACACACCCTAAACCCTAAACCCTAAACCCCAAACCCCAAACCCCAAACCCCAAACCCTAAACCCTAAACCCTAAACCCTAAACCCTAAGCCCTAAGCCCTAAACCCTAAACCCTAAACCCTAAACCTTAAGTAAGGGCAGGATTTTTTTAGGGTTTTGGGTTTCCTTAGGCAAGCAGTTGAGGCAATAGCTGAAAGCCACATTTAACCCGGGCCAGGTGTGTTGTTTGGGCTTAGGCTTGGGTTGGCTTTGGCCTTTGCGGCTTCTTAGGGCAAACCCTAATTAAATATGTTGATGTGGCAAACATGAGGTAGATTCCCGGGCCTTTAGTGGTGTCCAATCTCTCAGGCATGACCAGCTCCCAACCGGATGGCTCGACAGATGGATGGTCGAGTTGGACGATCAGGCCCTTCTGTGTTACCCTGGTGTCCCCTTCACTTCGGTTTAGGACCCTAAATGGCCCTCTCCCTACATAATAAACCCTATATAATAATTCAGCGAATCTCCATCGTCTATTGTTTAATGCCAATCCCCCAAAGACATCTCAAAGCCTTGAACAATGAGACCTTGTTCCCCCCGACATGAACCACCCTAAACCCTAAACCCGAACCCTAAACCCTAAACACCAAACCCTAAACCCTCAAGTCCAAACGTTCTGCGGCTGCCGGAACTTTTGGGTATTCGCACTCCAGCCTCCGGGGGAGCTGGGACCCTCAGCCGCGGTTTGGTCGGACGTCAACACGCCGTCGTCCCCATCCAGAACGATTTGCCCAGTGCGGAGCTGCACTCGGGGCAAGACCTGGGATTTCACTTCTGAAACCCATCTCGGGTCACATCTTCGCCGACAGCGACCTCCAGAGTTCACAGTCGAGATGCTGACAGTGGTTCTCGCGTAGAGCTCACCTTCCCCTGTGCCACTGCTGCTTCTTTCTCTCTGGAATCTCTTTGCGAATCGGAACACTGCTGCTGCTCCTGATAAGCCCCACCCTAAGTATAGGCTGCAGGTTAGGGGGTTTAGGGTTTAGGGGGGGGGTGGGCCCGATCTGAATCGGAATTCGGCTAGGCTGGTTGTTGTGGTTTAGGAGTCCGGGTTCGATAAAGAACCAACTTCGGTTACCCTAAGATGCTTCTCTAGGTTGCTACTCTTGTTCTCCGTGTGTGCACTGGGTTCCTTCAGAACATCAGTGGTTCAGGAATTTGCTGGTAGCCTGGGGTAGCCACGATGGAAAGCAATGTAGTGGTTGAGATTTGGTATTCTGAAGCTTGCAAGCCTAAGTACATGAAGCACTATCAATGAAGCCGGAGCCAGCCTAAGCTAAAAGACAATGAAGCCGGAGCCAGCCTAAGCTAAAATACACTCCCAACGACCCTACAGTAAATTTGAGCACAAGAACACAAAGATTGTGAACCTACGTTCGGCCATCGATCTTCCCAGGCGCTCTGTGGATCGAGGGCTCCCAGGCGCTTCCCACCACGAGCCCCTAATTCCTGAAACCCTGTACCCTTCAGCAGAAAGCCTAGATAAACTCAGTAGCCTGCAGGGTTTTAGGGTTTGACCTGCACACAGTAATGTGCTGAAATCCGAGACACACACTCACTGGCATTCCCCAAGCCCGAGCTACCCTAACCCCCTCAATGGTTCATGCAGCCTACTCCCCCAGCCGAATTATTGCGTTGGTTCCTGAATAAGATACGTTTAGGCTCTTCTGGTGAGTTTATGTTAACAACAAGTGCGGGCATGTTGCACATCAGTGAAAGGTGAATAAGGCCTGGTTTGCTTGGTTGCATCGTCGCGTATGACACAGGGGCTCGAGCAACAGCTCAACCAGGGGTGTCCACAAATTGCAACATGTTCCAACCATAGTGCTATGACCCTTCCTGCTGCCACCAGGCCACTCCACTTGGCTGCTTTCAGTGTTCTGTTACATTTTTTACCTCGCTCTAGAACCTAGACTTCCTCAGCCATGTCCGCTGACAATGGGGAGACAGTGAGCATGGTGTTGCAGTATGCAACTGTGAAGTCAAGGATTCCGAGGCTGTTCCAGCCTAATTTCGGACTGCCTCTCATGGGACGGACAGACCAGACAAATCCCGCATGGAGAGAGTCAAGTGCTGTGATCGAGGCTCCCTGATCGCTTCTTTGTCAACTGGATCTGCCAAGGTGAGTTTCCATCCGCCAAATCACTGTCGCCTCCGATTCACAGTTTTGCAGACCATGATGACCGACAAAGGGCGGCAGTGGCTTCTATCCCACCACAACTCGAAACACACAATTTTTGTGGAGGAGGTGCTGCAGATTATCATGACACTTGACTTGCAACAGGGTGCCGACCGCAAGGTGCAGATTTCCATGAGCCTCATGTCCGGCCAGGTCATTTCGACTGTGGAAGCAGAACATTCCATGCGACTTTATGAGCTGCGTAGAGCCTTGTTCCAGCATGTTTCTGCATTCAGCCGATTGGAGAAGGAAACCATGAAGTTTTGCACGACCAGCGGTCGTATGGTTCACCTGCGTGGATCGGCCACTGTGCATAGTCTCTTAGTGAACCCGCTCAAGAGACCTCGTGCGAACTGACTTTGGCTGTCAAGAGGGGCTCAGAAAGTGGGGCTAACAAACACTGCTTTCACACATGCAGACACCAGATATTGACAGATGATATGTAGTGTTGTGACATTTCTCGCTGCATTGCTGGCAGAGTGCAAGAGATATTGACAGATGTGCTAGTCTTGTGATGTTGCAAGTTGCATCGCTGGCAGGGTTTTGTTGCTCAAGTTGCTTTGTGGTTTCACCTGTTGGCAGCATGATTGCTGAAGGGGTCATGTCGGCCTTTATGACCGGCAAACGGCCTTTGGACGAGGCTGAAGAACCTGCACCTGCTTACAAGGCACCGAAGAAGCTAGCCCCGAGAAGCATCAGGTTCACTATGATGCAGGAGGAGGCATCAGGTGAGTCGAGTCCGGAGCCACTGTCTCCGAGCCCTGAAAAGTTATCGGCGGTGAACGACGATTTGTTCCAGGGCCGCAAGGTGAAGGAGTCCAAGTCCGACTTGTTAGAGGGTGAGGTGAAGAGCGATTGGTTCCAGGGCGGCGAGGTGACAGACTTGTTCGAGTGTCTGGACAAAGCCCTTGGGAGTGACCTCCCACTGTGCATTGAAGATGGCCCAGTGCAGCAGCTTTACAGTGGGCCAGTTGTCATGGGAGCCAAGGTCGCCTCCCCACAGGGTTCTTTGCAAGCAGCCTCACCCCACCAGGGTTCTTCGGCTGCACCCGCACCTTTGGCTGCACCCGCACCTTTGGCTTTGCAAGCAGCCTCACCCGACCAGGGTTCTTCGGCTGCACCCGCACCTTTGGCTGCACCCGCACCTTTGGCTTTGCAAGCAGCCTCACCCGACCAGGGTTCTTCGGCAGCAGCCTCACCCCAGCAGGGTTCTTCGGCAGCAGCCACACCTTCGGCTGCAACCGTTTCAGCTGTGGCAGTCTTGAAGGAGTTTCTGTCGGTTCCAGAGTCCGTGCAGAACTTCCACCAGAAGACACTTTGCAAGATTCAGCCACTTTTTTTCTGGGTTTAAATATTCAAACTTAGGGTGTTTTGCGCCGTACCTGATAGCCACTTCCCCCCCCCCCAAACCCCAGAACCTAAACTGTAAACCAAAATCCCTAAAGCTCATTCAAGGTGAGCTGCAAGAAGAAAGAATCCCTGAATGCTCGAAGCCCAAAGCAACACAACCAATTGCCAGTGCTGAGGAGCTGGACCGAGTACCCGAAGGACTGTTGCAGCATCCAGGTCTTGGTGCACAAGCGGGCCTTCTTCATCAACAAGGTTGCCAAGACTCACAAGGACAAGGCAGGAAGGATGTGCTCTACAGCAAAACCCTATCCCTAACTATACCCTAGCCCATAAGTCATAGCCCTGTATACCCTCTCGAGCATGTACAGCAAAACTCTGAACAGGTGAAGACCAATGCTTCCGGAGCCTACCATTTGGGTTGGGGGAAGTTTCTTGACCCTGTTTGAAGAGAAGCAAGCAAGCTAGCTTTGCAGCAAGTTTTTTTCTGCTTTTCAAGAACAGCTAAGGTACCAGAGCCTTCGAGAAGCTTGGGCGGAGGCAGTACGCCTGGGCAAGGAGTGAGGCTGATTTGATGGGCTTCCATTGGGGCAGCACCTGTGAGCGGCCGAAGAAATCTTTCCGAAGCTGTCAGTGAAAATGAGGGAACCTTAGATTTTAGAAGGGCTTAGGGTGCAGGGTTTGCAGGCTCTGTGCCGCAAGGCGTAGCCTGATAAGTAAGATCACACAGGCATCAGCCGCTCACTCGCTTGCTGAAAGCAGGTTGTACACAGCAGAGGCAGCAGGGTATATAGCCGATCCCTAGCAGGGCCGACTAAGTCATGTATAAGCACAAGTTGAGACCTTGTATGTCCCTCTGGCTGTGCATGCAGGGTTAAAGCTGCCCTGTGATCCGATGAGGGGTTCTGTTGTGAAAATGCATTCCGAAGAGAGAAAAGATTGCCCTAGGCAAGGCTCAGCCTGAGAGTAAGATCACACAGGCATTGTGCTGAGAGGTTCACCTTCATACTGGATGGATCAAAGGTCACAACAGAAGCTCTTGGCCTCGTAGGGCTTGGGTGTTGAGCCGCAAGGCTCAGCTTGAGAAGTAAGGTTAGGCTGGTTTATGCTGAACGGCTCTGGAAATCTGAGCCGAAGGGTAGGGTCGATTGCCGTGCTTACTGCCACAACCAGAAGATAGGCTGGATTCAAAGACAAGGCAGTGCTGAAGTCAAGAGACTTCACTAGTTTCACGGTCCTGCCGCCACAGCATGCCCTGGACCGGCACCGGTTTGACGTGCGACAAGTGTGGCTGGGTTACGAAGGGTAGGGAGCAAAAAGGCGGCGCTGTGCATAGAGTTCCTTGGCTACAGTGTCATGCAATAACCGGTAACCAGACATGTATATAGTAATATATAATGCGGCTTGCAACATGTCGTTGAGAGCAGTCCTCGTTCCCCTGCCAGGTGCCAGACCAACCATGGAAACGGCCACACCTGTGACCCCGGCAACTTTGGTCTGGATATGGAGCGGTGCAGGGCGCTGAAATAGGAAGGCCCCACCACCGATGCCTCCAACGGATGATCTGCCCACGGCCTCGTCAGGCTCGTCAGGGGCGGATTTCCAAAGGCTCGAGATGGAGAGCAAGATTGACAAGCTAGACCGCAAAGTTGACCGTCTGATCGAACTGGTCGGCCGCTTGGAGATTCAGCAAGGGTAAGGAGTTCAAAAGGTCGAGAGCAAGATCGAAGCGGCTGCTGTAACAGCACAGGGGTGTTGTACATATATACAGACTTGGAAGCGAGGGCAAGCAGCACCGCGGGCCGGAACCTTAGAACATCCCCGGCCCTTTAAAGAAAGACCTGAAGACACAAGACCGCCCAGGCTCCGCTGTCTGGCAGTGGTGGTGGTGGTGGTGTGTCCGGGGCCTGTGGCGTCATGCAAGTGCCCTGCCGGTTTTAGTCCCCAGCCCTTCTGGTGCAGTGTGAACTAACTCAGCTGAAGAGGCAATGATGTTGAGCAGCTGTGTGCTCAAGTGAAAAGCCTTCACTAGTGTCACGGTCCTGCCACCACACCATGCCATGGTCCGGCACCGGGTTGCAGTGCGACTTGTGTGGCTGGGTTACGAAGGGGAGGGTCGATTCCCGTGCTGAGTGCCATGCCCTCAAGATAGGCTGGATTCAGCAAAAAGGCGGGATGACCCTTTGCATCGAGTTCCTTGGCTACAGTTTCATGCAATAACCGGTATCCAGACATGTATATAGTAATATATATATATATATATATATATAATGCGGCTTGCAACATGTCGTTGAGAGCAGTCCTCGTTCCCCTGCCAGGTGCCAGACCAACCATGGGAACGGCCACACCTATGACCCCGGCAACTTTGGTTTGGATTTTGATGCATGCAGGACGCTGAAATCCCAATGGTGGCAGCCTCCGCCGAGTCCCCCAAACAGCACACCAGGGCCCAGCGTTGCTGCAGGGGCGAGCGTTGCTGCAGGGCCGAGCGTTGCTGCAGGGCCGAGCGGCCCAAGGACAGTTGTCAGGACGAAGGCCCCGCCACCGAGTCCTCCAACGGATAATGGTCCCACAGCCTCGACCTCGTCAGGCTCAGCAGGGGCGACGGACGTCCGGAGGCTCGAGCAAAAGATCGACGAGCTGGACCGCAAAGTGGCCCATCTGATCGATCTGGTCAACCGTTTGGGGTTTCACCAAGGGTAAGCTGCGAAACAGAAGGAGGCCCTCTATTTTTGTATAGAGTATCGTGTTGTTGAACGAGCTCCCTGTACACACCAACCTTTTGGAGTTCGGCAGCAAGCAAGGAGGAAAAAAAAGCTACAGCCAGCGTTTTGAAGAAACATGTGCATGCCGGCAGCCAGTGAAATTCCATGTGATCGCTGTTTCGAGTGGTATATAGCCCTGCCTCGGCTCAGGACCGATCGTGTGACCTTGCTCCAGTTCCTCGCAAGTGACCCGAACGCTGCTTGCCATGTTTGGGGTCGGCCTAAACCTAAACCCTAAACCCTCAACCCTAAGCCCTAAACCTTGCACTCCTGGCACAATCCCCGGCCCTTTAAAGAAAGACCTGAAGACACAAGACCGCCCAGGCTCCGCTGTCTGGTGGTGGTGGTGGTGGTGTGGTGTCCGGGGCCTGTGGCGTCATGCAAGTGCCCTGCCGGTTTTAGTCCCCAGCCCTTTTGGCGCAGTGTGAACTAACTCAGCTGAAGAGGCAATGATGTTGAGCAGCTGCAACAGTGCTCAAGTCGAAAGACTTCACTAGTTTCACGGTCCTGCCGCCACCGCATGTAGAGGTTTGGACCATTACTCATGTGAACTTGTGATCAGAGAGCAAGCAAAATGTAGAAGCAAAAATAGCACAGGGTTTGCATGTCTCAGAATTTTAACAGTAGACAGTGAGCTAGTGATCATGGTCCGACGCAGAATTGTCACTTGCAGCAGCAGCAGCAGCGAGGAGGAGGACCGCGTGGATGGAGACATCGAGGAGGACGCAGTGGATGGCATTGATGCAGTCGACGAAATTTCTGGAGTGCCGAACCCTCGTCCCATCCACCCAATGGTGCCAAGGGCACCGGCGGCGCTTGGGCCTCCCCCGCCCACACCGTTCGCCCCTCCTGGCCCAGCAGCTGGCCCAGGACCAGTTCGAGGCCCTGCACCTGGCGGCCCTCCTCCACCGACTCTTGGCTTTCTGTTGGCTGGCTTTTGGGACTTCAACTCTTTTTTTTGAACAAGGAACCTACAAGTTAAACTTTAAGGAGGGGTTCAGAAGTCCCCGACTCTTGGCTTTCTTCTGGCTGGATCTTGTGACTTAAACTGCAATAAGGAGCCTGAAAGTCAGACTTCTAGGAGGGGTTATAAGTCAGCCCAGGTTGTCAGGTGATTTTACAAGCCCAGGGTTTTTTTGTAGAAACTGCAATAAGGAGCCTGCAAGTTACACTTTGTTGGGGAGTCAGCCCAGGTTGTCAAGTCCTTTCACAAGCCCTGGGGGAATGGCAGCCCTGCCGGCAAGT